TTAATAGTTATTAATTGAATTTTGTTTTTTTTTTTTTCATTTTAAGTATCTCGAGGAAAATTATCTCTCTCTCTCTCTTTCTCTCACTCACTCTCTCTCTTTGTTTTTTTTTTTCTATTGATAAAAAATTTTACAAAAGATTAAATTTAATAAAATAATATTATTCGAAAAAAATGAAAAAAAAAAAATGTGTAGTCGTTTTTTTTTTTCATATTTATTTAAAATTTAAACTTTATGTTATTTTGAGCAAGAGAGTGAAAGAAAGAAAGAAAAATAATAATAATAATATTAATAATAATAATAATAATCTATTTTTGCACAATTATGTCACTCCTTTCTAGTTAATTTAAATTTTTTTTAGTCGAATGATGATGATGATGATATTTATTAACAAGAAATCGATTTCATTAATTATTATAGAAAATAAAATTTTTTTTTTTTTTTTTTACTCATTTAACTTTTCGTTTTGACTCATCGATTAATTTACACAAACAGACATATTTATATTTATTATTATCATTATCATCATCATCATCATCATCATCATCATTAACAACATCAAAAAATTTACAAAATTTCTTTTTGTTCGAGTAAAAAAAAAAAATTTCTTTTATTGTTCATTCGTTTAAAAAAAATTGAAAATTGGAAATATTGATTTTATTATAAATCAATAATAATAATAATAAGAATTTTTCCCTTTATTATTATTATTATTATTATTATTATTATTATTATTATTATTCGATAAGTTGTGCTGTTTTCTGTGTGTGTGTTTTTGTGCTGCCATGAGAAATAAATACAATTTTATTTAGTCGATAATATTTTATTTATTTAAAGATTTGTAGGGAAATTTTTTAATTAATTAAAATTATAAGATTAATAATAATGAGATTAAATTTCTGTATCGATGAATTTGGTTTTATTATCTCAACCCCCCACTCACCCCCCCCCCCCCCACAATATGGTGAGGTTTACTTTTCGATAGGGAGACATTTTAAACCATTTATTTAAAATGTAGGAATTTGTTCATCATTATAGATGTGGTGGTGGTGGTAGTAGAAGCAAATAGTATATTGCTCGTCTACTGCTATGTGACGTCATTATCACGTATGAATCAGGTAGTTTTTTACGATTAAATGATGACGTAAAAGGAAGGAACTTCTTAAATAGATTTAAAAAAAAAAAAAAAAAAAAAGGAAGTGAACAATTTTAATTCTTTTGCGTTTGTGTACTACACCTTACGAAACGTTAGTAATCCGTTCGAACGGTATCTTGGTTAATGAGAAAGTATGTGTGTGTGATGATGTTCTTCTAAATCGATGCCCCTAATTTTTTTTTTCTGGGGGGAGGGGAAGGGGGGAAATAAAAATATTGATTTGCAATAATTTAGGAAGAGAGAGAGGGAGAGGGAGGGAGGAGGGGAAAGGGAAAAAAGCAATCCATTACCGACTAATTAAATTTAAATATATTTAAATTTTTTTTTTTTTTTTTGTATAAATCAAAAAAATTTTTTTTTAATGCATTACTTAATTAACCGGGGGAGGGGGAGAGGTAGGGGTAGGAGAAGGGAGGCGAGGGAGGAAACTTTTTTAAGTACAAATGAGTAATTAAATGAATTTAATAATAACGAGAGAGAGAGAGATGGGATTGGGAAAATTTATTTTTAAAAAAATCAAAAGCTTTGTTTTTTAATGATTCACTTTTTTTTTTTTTTTTTGTTTTTATTATAAAATTGGCTGATGACGCAATGCAAACGATATCGTAAGGGAATGTGTTGTTCTGGCATTTAAATTTTTTTTTTTTTTTTTAGTATTTTTTCGATTGCTTAAAATATAATATGTAAACATTGTGAGAAGAATAAGGATAAAAAATCGTTTTGTTAATAAAAATTATTATTATTATTATTATTATTATTATTATTATTATTATTATTATTATTATTATTTCAAACGGTTGCATTTGTGATTGTCGTTTTTTTTTTCACAAAAAAAAAAATAAGTAAAAAGTAATAGTAGCCTTGAAACGGAATTAAAAATATATATACGTGTGTGTGTGTGTGCGAGAGAGAGAGAGAGAGAGAATGAGTGTGTGAGTGTGAGTGAGTGAGTGAGCGAGCGTGTCGCCGTGCGAGTTGTGATCATGATCTAATATTTGTCATCCGCCCCTCATTTTTTATTTCGTTTCCGTTCCGATCGTTTATTTATTTTATGGATTTGAAAATATTATACGGATTATTATCATTATTATTATTATTATGTTATTTCTTATTTTCTTTTTTAAATTGTTAATCTCTTAGGTATTCCTCCGAGTTAACGTTCGTTTTCGTAACTCCTTATAATATTACAAAAAAAAATTGACGTCAGAATTCAATTTCGCGTTGTTGTTGTTGTTTTCTCTCTCTCTCTCTCTCTCTCTCTCTCTCTCTTTCTCTCTCTCTCTCTCTCCCCCACACACACACACACAGTATTTTTATTGATATACCCTAATAGTGTGTGTTTCATATTTGAGTGTAACATTGCGATGATAATTTTAACGATTTTTGTCTTCTGCTGCTTCTTCTGCTTCTGCTTCTGCTTCCACTTCTGAAACGTCTTTTAAATGTTGATGTTTTTTTCGATTGTAATGTCGCCCACCTTTGAATAATCTGTTAACGTGTAACTTATGCCCAGCGCGTGATGTAGTAGAATATAGAAAAAAAAAAAAAAAAAAAGGGAAAAATGTCGTCGTGCGTTTTCTTTGTTGATTTTTAATTAAAAATTTATTGAGGTTGGTCAATTTAAAGTCTATATATATATATATACAGAAATTTTGTCTTATCGACAAAAAAAGTCTCAAGTTTATGTATATATATATTATTCAATACAAAAAAAATTTTCTTTCTGCAATCCAATTGATTTTCTTTTTATGTAACCGTTTTGTGGAAAATTTTGTTTTTAAAACAGGGTGAAAATTGTTATTAGTGAGGAAAACATTAGAAAAAACATTTTCTCATATACGCAGGAATTTAAGTATAAACCGAGGTTTTTTTTGTTAGTTTACCTTTTTTGCCCCCGCCCCCCTAAAAACTAATTTTCGGGTATTTTGGAGCAGACGACAGCATTAGACGACCTGTAGGGGTAAAATGTATATTTTATTATTTGTGTCCCATATGCGTCGATGTCGAACATGCCCAAAATTCTCTTTTTTTAAAAAAGGTTTTCCTTTATATAATTAAGAAAAGAAAATTTCTCTCTCTCTCTCTCTCTCTCTCTCTCTCTCTCTCTCAATTAGACGGAATGATCGGGATGATGTTTGCAATCATTTTCCACGTGTACTTTTGTTGTTGTTGTTGTTGTATTGGGAAAATTTTAAAAACGCTGCGGGTTAGATTTTTTTTTTGTTGCGAAACGCTCAGAAAAGATTTTTCAAAGGAGGGAGACATTTTAGTTTTTTTTATGTACATATTTTGACAAATGTGTAAATGCTGTCGTTGAATGATTTTAACAAACTAAAAGTAGTAGGAAAACATTTAACAAGAAAAGTTGCTCGTTTAAAATTTTTTTTACTTTTTTTGTAATAAAAGAAGTGCTTCGAAGTGGAAAGTTAATTTTTCGACTCGGATGTATTCGCCATAATAAATATTTGTATTTAAATTTTAAAAGGAGAGTTTTTCCTTTTCCTTTTTCTTTTATTATTATTATTATTATTATTATTATTTTTAAAAAGGTTTTTTTTTTTTTTTTTGCTTTTTCATCATTGATTCAATAATCCACCTGATGCCTAAAATCAATCGACAATGTTTGTTTGTGGGAGATGGGGGGAGAAGGGGGAAACGTTTTTCCATTCGCCGTGAAACGTAAAAAAAAAAAAAAAGCAAAACCAAAAAAAAAAAAAACTTTTAACGAAGTTTAAGGGGAGACATTTTTTTTTTTTTTTTTGTACGGATCGCTTTTCTCGAAAAATAATAATAATAATAAAATCGAATTTCTCGAATATTGTCATTTTTTTCCCGGGCGAAGATGAAAAAATGTATTCCATGTTTTAAAAATGTGAAAATGAATGTAAAATGTGTTCCATGTTTTCCTTTCTCTCTCTCTTTCTCTCCTTTCCCCTCTCTCTCTCTCTCTCTCTCTCTCTCTTTCTCTCCTTTTCTCTCTCGCGAAGAGGTAAACGAAATAAGAAATCGAATACTTTTGATTTTTATATAACTTTTATCATTGTTGTATTTTTTTAATGCGTGCGTGTGTGCGTGTGCGTGTGCGTGTGCGTGTGCGTGTGCGTGTGAAAACGAGAAAAAAATTTAAATTTTCGTTTCCTTTGAATTTCTTCCTTTTAAACATTGTCGAAAAATTCAATTATTATTATTATTATTAATATAACGATTGATTGGAAAATAAAATTTGAAACATGTTTGTTTTTAAAAAAAAGAGAGAATAAAAGAAAATTGTGCGTTACAAATGTAAACATGGGAAAATTGAAAAGATTGTCGAGGGGGCAGGGGAGGGGGTTCTCTCTCTCTCTCTCTCTCTCACTCTTTCCAAGGGCAGGTAGCTAAAGTTAAATGGATATGATGGTGAAAAGAGGGGGGGGGGGAAAAGGGAGAAGACGCGGACGGATTGTGTGTCAGCTGAGGCGGGGTGAGGAGGTGAAGTGAGGTGAGGTGTAGAGGGCACGAGTTATCACCAGGAGAAAAATCAATACAACCGGAGCTCACTCATCGGATTTTCTTGCTTTCGAGAGTTGTTATTTTTAGGAGCTTGAGTCTTTTCTCTCTCTCTCTCTCTCTCTCTCTCTTGTTTGTTGTTTGCTACTCTTTCACAAATTATTATTATTATTATTTATTGTTAAATTTTAGCAAACACTCGATTTTCTCTCTCTCTCTCTCTCTCTTTTTGGATGTTTTGTCTTTTTTAATTATATACCAGGCTCACTAGTGTACATCTTGAAATTTTTTTTCTTTTTTATAATTGGCTTATTTAAATTTTTTTTTTTTTTTTTTTTTTTGTTTCAGTTATAAGAAAATGTCTGTAGACAAAGAAGAATTGGTGCAAAAAGCAAAGCTTGCAGAACAAGCTGAAAGATACGATGATATGGCAGCAGCCATGAAACAAGTAACAGAAACCGGATTGGAATTAACCAATGAAGAAAGAAATTTATTGTCTGTTGCTTATAAAAATGTTGTCGGAGCACGCAGGTACGTTGTTTTACCTACCATACCTTCTCTCTCTCTCTCTCTCTCTCTCTCTCACACACACTGTTTATATAGACTCCATGCGTTGTGTAAACGCACGTTGCGTTGAATTTGTTTGTTGGTGGCTCATTTATTATTATTATTATTATTATTAGTCGGTTGGGAAAGGTCGCAGAACGAGAGAAATGAGCGGTTTTTTTTTTTTTTGTGAATTTTATCCTTGAACTTGAAGTAATATGTCATCACTTTTGGTATTGGTCTTTAATATCTGTGTCAGTCATCATTCAATCATTATCAATTTTCTCGCATACTTTTTCAACAGTGCTGCGCATATCAGGTCAAGAACGTCAGGTTTTTTTCCTGGAGAATAAAAGTAAAATTTTCTTTATTGTATTTCGTACCCTTAATTAAGGGAGTAACTGGTAAAAATAATAAAGTTGATTCATTTCCACCGATGCCTTACGACCTGATTCTCGAAGGTTTCTTTTCCCTCCCTCCCTCTCTCTCTCTCTCTCTCTCTCTCTCTCTCTCTCTCTCTCTCTCTCTCTCTCTCTCTCTCTCTCTCTCTCTCTCGTTGTTGCAAGAAAGGATATTAATTTTCACACTCGCTTGTGTGATGCACATGCTTTTCTTTTTTTTTCTTGATGACATAAAAATTCCAGCCATGATGTTTAGCCTAAAGGTAAATACTCTAGTTTTATTTTTATTTTAGCTTCTTGTTTGAGCTACTTTTTTTTAAAATATGAAATGCTTCTAGTAATCTTTGGTTCTTTTTTTTTAAAAGTAGTTTTTCGAGTGTTTTGTGTTTGTGTATAATCTAAAAATAATAAATTTAACGGATTTTTTTTTAAAAAAAAAAATACCTATTTGATGTCGCGTCTTGCAAGAGATTTTTCTATATATATAAAAAAAAGGAATGTTCTAGAAAGAATTTTGTGTTTCGTGTAAAGTGCATATATATATATATATTAATTTATATTTAGGAATTTTCTTTTGCCTTCGTTTCATTAATTTTTTTTTTTTTTTAATTCGTTCTAATTTGAATAACGTTGGAAATGTTTTTATTAAAAAAAAAAAATATGGAAGTCGAGGTTAAAGGAGAAAGGATCGACGAAGGATAAAAACGAATTTTAATTTTCATTTTGGAAAGAGTGTAAAGGCAGGCAGGCAGGCTACCGAGAATGACTTTACAATTTATTTTATTATTATTATTATTATTAATGTAAAATTGAGAAAATTATTAATTGTCGTGAATGATTTCAAGATGCGACATCCAACAAAAGTCACACGAGGTGAATGAATGAATGAATGAATGAATATTTTTTCAAAAAAAAAAATGGATAATCTCGTTTTGTCGAAATCGCGCGTTTGGCTTTCTATTTTATGTTGATCGATTTTTTTTTTTTTTTTTTTTTTTTTTGAGGGCTTTGCGTGACCTTGTTTTCTCTCTCTCTCTCTCTCTCTCTCTCTCTCTCTCTCTCTCTCTCTCCTTAGCACTCTTACATATTGATAATTTATTTTTTCTAAAAAAAAATCCTTTTTTTTTTTTTTTTTTTTGTTCCAGATCATCATGGAGAGTTATATCTTCGATCGAACAAAAAACAGAAGGCTCGGAGAGAAAACAACAGATGGCAAAAGAATATAGAGAAAAGGTTGAAAAGGAGCTTAGGGAAATCTGCTATGATGTAATGGTAAGTTTCTATATGCATATGTACATGTGTAAGACAAAGAAAGGGAAAAAAATTGCTCTGTTGACAAATTTGAACGAGTGTGTTTCTTGTCATTATTATTATTATTATTATTATTATTATTTGTAATGATTGCAAATTGTAAAAGTGAAAAAAGATTACTATTGGAGAAGAATCAAACTAATAATATGTAAACGGACGATTTCGTGGGGAAGAGGGGGGAGGGGGGGGGAAAGAGAATGAAAGAAAAGAAAAGTGTATTACACACGTACGTAAAAGTTTAAAGTTTTCAAATATCGGTTAGGAGTTTAAAATTTTGACGTAGGTTGCGTCCATGGTCGTCGTCGACGTCCAATATCTAAATATGGTCAAGGTTCACGTTTCAAAAAAAATTTTTTTAAATTTTATTTTATTTTAAATATTTCTATTTGGTACGTAAAAAGGTAAAATGGTGGTCTCTCATTGCTGCTCCAGAGTAAAAATTTATGTCTATTTTTTTTTTTCTTCTTGCACTACACAATTTAATCAATTATTACAAAATGGTGGCGTTACGTTTATAATATTTCCTTGAACTTTTAAAAAAAGGAAAAATTATTGATTTAAAAGTATAAGAAGGAAAAAAAGAAAAACGTTAAAATTAAAGTTCGTGATGTTTTCTTTGACTTGAAACGAATTAAATTGTGCCAAAAGGATTCCAATAAAACATTATTCGATTTCGATACCATTCATTTATCATTAAAAATTAAACGAGTTACCAACATTGGAAAAAAAAAAAAAAAAAAAAAAAAAAAAAAATTTTTTTTCGGCATCGGGGGTATTGCGGTAAATGTTTTTTATTTTTTTTTTTCATTGACTTCAACAGGTGCTAAAGAGATGTAATCTTATTATTAAAAATCTCTAGAGAGAGAGTAAGAGAGAGAGAGAGAGAGAGTTGGATGGATGAATATTGTCTGTCACACCTTGTCGTCGAAAATCGTTTTGTTGTTGTTGCTGTTGTTGTCGTGTCATTCATTTTTATTTATTAAATTTCAATTATTCGCTAATTTGACGACTTAACTAATCGATTTCAGGTTCAGGTTCTTTAATACGCATGCATGTATATATTGGAATAAAAAAATTTTTTTCTCTTTTGTTTGCGAAATATGGTTAAAGTGAGAGAGAGAGAGAAAAAACGTTTCTTTTTGTTTGTTTGTTTATTTGCGTCTTTCTCTCTCTCTCTCTCTCTCTCTCCTCTATTTGGCATCTGGGCATGTCTATTTGTGCAAAAGCTAATTACTCTAGTAGAAGAGTTTATGAGTTTACAACACGAGTCGATATAATTTTTTTTTAAACATGTCTGGCGTTTTAATGGACGAAAAAAAAAAAAACAAAAATAAACACGGTGACAGTAATAAATCGATTTTAAAAAAAAAAAGTGATCATGGAAATCATTTATCTGCTTTTCTATCTCTCTCTCTCTCTCTCTCTCCCTCCTACTACTACTCTATTTGACTCGAGGTCTTAATTAAAGAGAGAGAGAGAGAGAGATGTTTTTAATTTACCGAGTTATTAGTAGTAGTAGATGATACTAATATCGATTAAAATGGCAAACCTTTTTTTTTTTTTTTTTTTTTTTGCCAATTATATCCGTATTAATTGTGTTAGTAATATGTGTGAGTGTGTGTGCGTGTGTGCGTGCATGTGTTGTGTTATATATATTTGTCGTGAGAATTGCCACCTTCATACCTTCGTAACTATTTATTTGCCTTTTTTGCCTTTTTGAATGTCGTCAAAGTCGTGTGAAAAATTTTAACACCATTATCAAGATTCAACTTGTTGTTGTAAATTATTTCGTAGCCATTAGATAATTGAATTTTAATTTGATTATTATTATTATTATTATTATTATTATTAACCAAATCGATTCGGTGTGTGTGATAATCTTTAATAAACAACCTTCTTTATTTTTTTTATGGTATTTAAAACCCGGATGAAATACTGATGATGATGATGATGATGATGATGATGGTAAATGCTACCAGCCACTTTTGTCTATCCTTTTTCCATTTAGTTGCATTTCTCTCTCTCTCTCTCTCTCTCTCTCTCTAAAGTTCAAAAGGTTTCCTTGTTTCGGTGAGGGCTGAGAAACGATGGCAAAAATGATTTTGTGATTTCCTTAATAATAATAATAATAATAATAGTAATGTAATTAATAAGATGTTAATTTCTCGATTTTGTTTAATTCAAACCGATTCTTCTTGATCGGGATTAAAACTTAATCCCGAAAAGTTAATCCCCCTTTTTTTTTTTTTTTTTTATTGTGCGTGTAGTTGTGTGTATTTTAAAATCTAAATCCAGTTCTCTTAATTTCACTAGAATTAATTTTTTTTTTTTTTTTTTTTTGTTTACTTTATCCTGGTTGTTTTTCACAAACGAGGATTTGAAGGAATAATAATAATAATAACAATAACAATAATAATAATCATTTAATGTTTTCTTAATTAGTTTAAATTTAAATGTTTCATTTCGAGAGTTAGAGGTTAGGAAAGTTTGTTTTTTTTTAGTAGAGTTGAGCCTTAAATTTGCGGTCGGAGCCATTTTTCTCTCTCTCTCTCTCTCTCTCTTTAACGGTCGATTAAACCCGAAATTTTTATTTTATTTTTTTTCTCTTTTCTTTTTTCAGGATTTACTCGATAAATATTTGATTCGAAAAGCGAGCAACGCTGAAAGCAAAGTTTTCTACCTTAAAATGAAAGGAGATTATTATAGGTATTTGGCAGAAGTGGCCACAGGAGCAAACCGAATAAGTAAGTTTATTTTATTATTACTACGATAGAGTATCTACTATTTACTTTTTGTTCCTTTCTCTCTCTCTCTCTCTCTCTCTCTCTATCTCTCTCACACACCATTTTTAAAAAAAAGGAAAAAAGGAAAAAAAGGAAATCGCGAAGTCGGAATCAAATTATTTTTCTTCTGCTTTTTTTTTTTTTTTTTTTTTTTATTTATTTATTTTAATATTAAAAAAAAAACACGGTCGGAAAAATAAAAAATAAATAAATAAATAAACGGGAAAACAAGTTTTCTTATTTTTTAAACATAAATAAAAATAATAATAATAATAATAAATATGTGATAAGAGAGAGAGAGAGAGGAAACGCGTGCG